GTGTGTTTTTTGCCCCCCCCCCCCCGGGGCCTCTCTCCCTGCCCCACCCCCACCAGCCAAACCTCAGAGCAGAATGGCCCTCAGACACCTGGTCTAGGGGCCTGCCCAGACCCCTGCACTGAAGCCCACATCTGCCATGGAAGGGCTCTGGCCCTGGCAGGAGGGCCTGCAGATCTTTGGGGCTCAGATGCTCTCGGCTGTGCCTGAAGCAGCCCCTCTGCCCTTAGAGTCTCTGGATGGGGAGACCTGAGGCCTGTGTGGACCAGCCCCTGCCTGCCCAGGGACACCCCCTCCCACTTCTCCGATGATCACCACCCTTGCCTTGAAAGTGTCCTCCCATGGCCTTGCAGCGCCAGGGGCTCTGAGCTTTGCAGTCGGCCTCAGTGTCCATCCCCGGGTGGCTGCCCACCTCTCCATCACACAGCCCAGCATGGTGCTGAGCACACAGGAGGCGCGTGGAGGCACCCACCAGCCAGAACAACCAGGGGGCACAAGCCAGAAACGGGGCACTGCCCTGGCTTGGCCTCTTCACAGCCCTGCCTGTGCAGCCCCAGTCCCGCCACCCCCAGCCCCCTTCAGGATCCTCCGTACTTGGGATGCATGTCCCCGACCCCGACCGACGCTGACGGGCGAGGCCTTCTCCCTTCTCCCCTTTCACTGGGGAAAGGCAGAGGGGAGGAACGCGTCTCCGCTGTGGCCATGTGAGACTCATCGGTCATTTTTGGTCCCTCCTGTCAGCAAGGACCCTCTACTGGGCTTCTCCCCACTCCCCCCACTGACCCCCCACCCCGAAGCACATGTCGCTCCGGAAGCCCTCAGCCCATTTCGGTCCTGGCGTTCCCCACCCCCATCTCTCTAACTAAGGGTGCAGAGCTGGGGGAACTGGCAGAACAGGGCGCCCCATGTGACCTTCAAGGACACCCCCAGCTCCTCCCTGGGCTCAGACCCTGCACCCACTGGAGCTCCCCTCCCTCAGCAGGAGCTCGGAGCTCACAGTGCCACGGTCATCTTGTGAAACAGTGCATGCTGCTGTGACCCAGAGCTCTCTCCGGCCTCCCGGTGGCCCGTGTGGGTGTGGGAGATGCAGCCAGAGACTGAAGGGAGTGGCGATCCTCCCCAGCACCCTGCTCCTCGGGTGGGACGAGGGACAGGTGTGTTCCACAGGGCTCCCCCAGGGTGACGCCCCAGCTCCCGCAGCGTTCCTCGCCTGGCCTCACCCCCCTTGACCTGCCTGACCCCCCAGCTTCCGAACTACTTCCTGCTTCTCAGCTCAGCTCCTGCCCTAGGGCTGGGACACACTCCCGCCTGGTCCCACCGCCACACCTTTGCTCAAGGTGCCCCTGCCCATGGGGTCCTCCCCCTGCCTCATTAACCCACGGCCCTTCTCTCCCTGCAGCTCACCGCCTTACAAAGAGCTGTCCCTTACCATGGGGGCCCTGGCCCGACCTATCTCCTTCACATACATCCTCTGGCCCCTGTCCTCTACCTGCCCTCACCAGCACCCCATCCTTGATGCGGCCCCTGAAGGCAGAATAGTGGCCCGTACTCCTCTGCGGCTCCCTCTCCACCCGGCCCTGCAGAGTCCAGGCCATCACAAATGCTGGTTGAAAAGACAAATATTGTTATTACATCAGCCGCCCCCTCACAGCTGACACTCATCTCCTAGCACCTCCTCACCCCAAAGCCCTCCTCTGCCTGTACGGCTCCTCTGCACATGGGTGGGTCTGGTGGGGGCTGGGCCAGTCCACACTTGGGGGCCAAATGATCTGTGATCAGCCGGTGGCTGGTTGTCCCAGAGCCACTCATCCTGCTCCAGGGCACTTGGGCAGAGAAGGGCCCTTAGCTTAGCTAGAGATCCTGCCCCAGAGGCCTTGCAGGGCCACAAGCTCTGCCCCAGAGGCCTGGCCACTGAAGCCAGCAGGCTGGAGGGCTCCAGAGTTCTGTGCCCACTTCGCTTGGAGACTGGCCTTGCTGGGGCACACCCTGGTTCTTGCCCACAGGACCCTTTGTGCCCCTCCCAGCCCCCATCTTCTTGTAAAGGGGGAAACTGGAGGCAGGAGGTGCCAGCAGTCAGGGAGAGGGTACTGTCGGTGGTTATGTGAGGGGGAAGCCGGTGTGGCCTGCAGGACAGTAAGCATCCGAGGGCACAAGGCAGCAAAGCAGGACATTTCTGGTGGCAGGGCTGCCATGCCATGAAGTCCTGGAGGCTTGGGAGTGATTTCCAAGGACATGGCCTGATGTCTAATGAAGTCTCCAGGGCTCCTGACCATGTGGCCTCGGTTCCCAGTGGTGTTGTCCAGAGGCATCATTGTGGTGAACTGGATGCTGTCACAAGAGTTTTCCACAATGCCCCTGGGGCAGTGAACGGCGTCCCCACCACTGCTAAGGAAGCCGCAGGTCTCCAGTGCGCTGCCACTTTGTGGTCCAGGAGAGGACAGCTCTTGGAGAGACCCACAGGCTGCTGTGGTTTTCCCACCTCTCCATTTCCACTCCATTCCCATTTTCCTTCTCCAGGGAGGACTGGGGCCAGGGAGTGCCCCGTCCCATAGTCCCATAGGCTGTGTTCCAGTCATCCCACCAGGTCACTGCTCTCAGCAGCCGAGAGCTCCTGCTTGCTGGGGCGGGAGGGCCATTCCAGGCTCTCGGTGCCAGCTGCTCCTGGGGGAGAGTGTGGGAAGGAGCAGGTCACCTCCACAGACGGGGAGCCTGGCCATCATCTTCCCAGCCATGGATCCCAGGAGGCTGCTCCCGGGCCCCAGGCTCAGACCGCCGTGGACTGCTTGATGCTGTGGAAGCTGACACGGGTAGGGGACGTGGGGATGGACACGGCGCGGGCCACGCGGGCACGGATTGAGTGCTTGTCCTGCCACCGATGCCACCTCTTCCGGATGGCTGAGCGGACCTGTGGGCACAGGGCAGAGCTTAACACCTGAGCCCGGTCTCAGGCCCCGTCTCCCTCCCTTCCCTGGGCTGCCACGAACAGCTCTCCAGGTGAGCAGTGCACAGGGGTCCACAGGAGCCGGCGACATTCACATGGGTAACATCGCTGATATGCATATTTGCTGGGACAATTTTTCAAGTGTCCGGAGGAAGGTGCACCTTTTTCTCGTCCACACAAAGGCACCGTTGTTTTCTTCTCTACTGTGAAGAATCCCTACCCTCAACCCACCCACACACCCTGCCCCAGGGCTCAGCCCTTCCTGGTTTTCAGACTCATTGAGGAGGCTGAAGCCCTGGCTTCTGGTCCTCCAGGACAACTGCGTCTGAGACAGCAAAGTGGGCTGTCACTGTGGGAGTAGAGTGGGCAGGGCAGGGACCACCCGGGAGCTCCCAGCAGCATCCACATGGGGACTTGGGAGGAAGCTGGAGGTGGCCATAAACACTCTCCAGTCCCAACAGGCCTCAGTCATCCTGAGCCCAGCCCCAGGGCCCCGGGGTCCTCACCTCACTGTTGAGGAAACAGTAGAACACTGACACGAAGAAGCCCTAGCGGGGAGAGAGACCTGTCAGGTCTGCGCAGGTGGCCCCACAGCCTCCGGGGCTGCCCCTGTGCCTCTCCCCACCCAAGGAGGTGCAGATCTGGCTCCTGCAGGGCTGGGGGTGGGCGGCCAGCACTGCAGCCAGGGGAGGGTGGCTGTACCTGGAAGGACTCCAGGAACGAGTTGAAGTAGATGAAGACGGCCCGGGAGACCTCATCCTCCCCGGGGTTCACGAAGAACAGCATGTAGGTGATGCCCAGGAGGGGAAGCAGCACCAGAGTGGCCTTCACAGCCTTCCTGGGGTGGGGCGGGTGGGGAGGCTGAGTCACAGCCCACCCCAGGACCGGGCTGAGCCTCTGCTGGGATGAGGAGGGCTGGGGCTTGGGGAGGGGCTGGCAGTTCTCTGGAATGTCTGGGGCAGGGGGAGCTGGGGTTTCAGGAGGGACTGCCAGGCCTGCGGGGGTGACCCGGGGTCAGAGGGATGCTGGGATCTCTGAAGCCCCCAGGGGTGGGAGAGGTGGGAACCAGTCACCTGTACTGAATGGTCTCAGACGTGGTGGATGCTCGGAGTTTGGTCGTGAGGATGCGGACGATGTTGAAAAGGAAGATGAAATTGATCTGCAATTGGAGCACAGCCATGGGGACGGCGTGGGCGTGGATGGGAGCAAGGTGGGGGGAGGGGCGGGCATGCCAGGGACCCTCGTCCTCTGTTCTGTCCTCGTGCCCCCTGCTCCCCTCCCTCCACCTCCTTGGCCCTTGCCCTTTCCTGGCCCCAGCTCCCTCTTTGGGTGACTCCCACCTCTAGGCAGAGGGGTCCTTTTGGTCCACGGGAGGGGCACAGGAGGTGCTGATTGCCCCTCCCTGCTGTGCCCTGTCACCTGCTCCCTACCCACATTCTTACCAGGAGGACCAAGATCATGGGGCCCTGGTAGATGTAGTCGGTGTACACCCCAGGCCTTTTGCCAAACCAGCATCTAGAAGACCACAGAGGGAGGGGGAGGAGGTCATCCGGGTCCACTTCAGTGGCATGGGGAGGGGTAGAGCTCGGTCAGGGCAGGACTGGGGACAGAACCACAATATGGATGCCCCCATTCCAGTCCTGGCAGAAGGTCAGGCCGCTTGATCCCACCGCTGTGCCTCAGTAATCCCATCTGCAGAATGGACAGCATCCTCTATTATGAGATGTGCAGTTGGAAGCAAGCCCTGTGGCAGGGAGGGGGACAGTGGACAAGGCCACCAAGCGGCCCAGGAACAGGCGTGGGCCCAACACACCCCTGCTTCCTCGGTTCCCCCTCTTGGCCCCTTCGCTGTGGCTGTGGCTCAGCAGGCCCGCTGGGGCGCTGCTGGGGGGAGTGACGCATACAGCGCCTTGCACTGCACCTGTCACACAGTGAGCAGCCAACAGATGGCAATCTCTGCGACTAGAACGGCCTTGAGGGGAGACTTCCACACGTTCCCCCAGGGAAGGAAGAATTTCTTTGCACTTTCCTGAGTTTCCCTCCAGCAAGCTCCAGGGAGGTCTGGGGAGTGGGCGGGGATGGGACAAACTGGAAGTCCTATGTCCTTGTGGGCATCTAGACCCGCAATGGCTGATCTCATGATGCTCTCATAAATCCGAAATTTGAGAATTTTTATATGAAACCTCTTGACTTTTTAAAGGTTGGCTACAAAATCAAGTTTTCAGAAAACAGCACAGAGGCCAAACGCAGCTGTCCGTGGGCCAGGTCCAGTCCTCGGGCCTCCGGTCTCTGAGTTCTTTCGGATTTCCCACGCGCGGTCCCTTCTGCTGCAGTGTCGGCATCTTACCACGAGGCGGAGCTTCAGAGCCGCTCAGCCCCTCGTTCCCCGCCTGCCCAGGCATCCCTTTCCTTCCCAGACACTGGCACACAGGGCAGCTGTTGAAACCCGTTCTTCCACCCTCCCCTGTACTCACACAGCTGCACACGTGCAAGCACAGGCCCCACCGCCCAGGTTGACGATGCTCCTGCTCGGACACCCAGGCCCCAGACAGTCTGTCAGCGGGCTCCCCTCCGTGCAGGGTCCCCACCGGCCACCTGTGCAATCGTGGTGAGGCCAGCTGGGCCTGAGTCAGGGAGGAGTCACCCTCATAAATATGCAGTATTATTTTCCAGACTCCTTGGACTGGACTGAGGATGTGGTGGCCCTCTCCTCTGTGGGGGAGGACAGAGTTTGTCACTGTGATGGCTGCTGCCCAGACCCCCAGTCAGCCAGTTAGCAGGTCCTGGGAACACTTCTTTGGCAAAGAAGATCCCTGGCTGTCTATGTCCACCTTTTCTGCCTCTGTCTCTCAGTGGTTCTCAATCCTAGCTGCACATTAGAATGACCTGGGAAGTTTTAAAACTTCCCAAGGCCAGGCCACACCTCAGACCAATTATATCCAACTCTTTGGGGGTGGTGCCTGGGATGGGTACTTTTTAAGGCTTTCCAGGTGATTCTAATGTGAGCCAAGGCTGAGACCCCTGTGGTGGAAACTCAGTTTTCAGGGGCGATTGGGAACACCTGAATCCGTTTTTAAAGAACCACAAGGCTTCAGAGCTGGAAGGTACCTCTGAGATCATCTGGATCTGTTTCTATTAAATTCATGGAATTTTTGTTAAAACAAGTCTTAATATTAATAGAAAATATTTATATAGCATTTACCATGTGCCGGGTACTATTCTAAATGCTTAATATATATTAACTCATGTCATCCCCACAACAGCCCTCAGAGGTAGGCATTATTAGGATGCCCATTGTACAGATGAGGAAACTGAGGCACACTGCAGCACTTAGCCCAAGGTCATAGAGCTACTTAATAATGGAGCCATGATTTAGAACCAGACTGCCTCTTGTGAGAGCTCAAGACAGATAAAGGAGCCTGGATCCTGCCTGTCCCGCTCCACCCCAGCAGAGCACTGGTAGGGAAGGGACCCTCAGATTGAGGCCCCAACTCCCTCCCTTTATAGATGCAGAAACCATGGTCCTGACCAGAAAGCTGATGTGGCCCAAGACCCTTGGGCAGTGGCAAGCAGAGCTGGCCTGGGAGCCCGAACCTTGAGGGTCAGGAAGGGGAGGGAGGTGACTTACTTCTCATTGTCGTAGTACAGCTTCCCAATGGCCCAGGCCACGATGATGGGGAAAGGCACACCTGGGGGAAAGACGGGCTGTCATAGAGCCCTTCAGTAGGGGGATGCCAGGCCTGGAGGGCCCCACTGCAACCCAGGGCCTAGAGGGGGACAGGGGTTACCCAGGGTGAGCTCGAACTCACACTGTCCCCACCCCCAAGGAGGGGCAGGGGGCTCTGGTGCACACCTCACCATCCCAGCCTGGCCTCCATCTCCCAGGCCCCCCGGCCAGCTGGCCTGAGTCTGGGTGAGGAGGGGCAGCCTGGGGGCCGCGTGCCAGCTCACCCCAGCCGAGGCAGATGAACATCCACTTGCGCAGCCGGTTGGTGGAGTAGGTGAGCACGATGGCCGTGTGCAGGTAGCAGCCCTCGCCGAACATCCAGAAGAAGTTGGTCACATGGAAGTAGTTGTAGGCGGCTGTCACCAACCTGCACCAGGCCTGCCACCCCACCCCCACCGATGAGGTGCTGATGAGCTGGGGGTGGGAGGCCGTGGCAGCACCCCACCCTGGCCTGGGGCCTCCTCTGGGCAGGATGGGGCACTCCCTGAGATCCTGCTCCTGTTCTATGGGCCCCAAGGCCTGACCCGGGCCTCCCTCTGCAGGGCAGCCCCAATGGGCCCTTCCTCTGACCTTGGGCTGGGCCACATCCCACTCCCTCTTCCTCCCGCCAGGACGCACCACGTTGCTCTGATGGACCTCGGGGCTCATGGTGAGCTGGACCATGAACCACGTGGCATTGCGCAGGATGAAGGCCGAGATGAGGTTCCAGTGGATGATGTTTCTCAGGCACCGGATGCTCCTGGGGCAGGGGCAGGTGGATGACAGAAGCAACAGGAGAAGGATGAGGGACAGGCTACCGACATCACTGCAGCCCGGATATGGGTGGGGAAACAGGCTCAGAGTGGGGCTGACTGGCTAAGTCACATAGGGAGGTGGCCACAGGACTCTGCTGATGCCCCACAGGCCCTTTCTACCTGCAGCCCACCCAGACGTGAGCTCCTGGGGCAGAGCCTGGCACACAGCCTGTGCTCCCTGGACTGGGGCTGCTGGCTTATTGGGAATGCCTGCTTTCCCACCCTGGTGGCAGAAGTGGCTCTGCCAGAGGTTCCAGGAGACCCGAGGCTCCCTGTACATGGCCATTGTGCCCACTACTGAGGGGGAGTGGCAGGACGGTCCCTTCCCAGCAGCCCCCAGCCCGGAGCGACTCCTGCATGTTACCTTCCCCCTCTGCCTCCCACTCAAGGACCCAGGGATGAAAAGAGGCAGTGTTGGAGCCTTCTCACCTGAGCCGCAGAAAGAGGACAAAGGCCACCAGGAGGGCCACCAGGGAGACACAGTGTCCCAGGTAGTTGATGATGACAGCTATGTGGTAGTGCACCTTGCTCTTCCTCTGAGGCAGGAGAGAAGAGCAGAGGTGAGGCTCCCGCATGGCTGAGCCCCTGCACCCCCTGGACATGAGCAGCTCTGTGAGGACAGTGCCCAGGGGTGGCCGGGACACAGTTGGTAACGATCGCAAGGGTTCCTCCACTTCTCCACCCCCTACTGTGTGTCCAGCATCACCCTGCAGCAGCACAATCCAATTTGAGGCTAGGTCTGTCTGTCTGTCCCTGAATCGTGTGCTCTATCCCCTGCTCTATGCTGTGGGACAAATATCAGATGAACTGAATCTCCACATCACACACGCCACGTGCACAAACGTGTGCCCGACTAACAGATGTGCACTCGCCCTCACATCTGCCCACATTTCCTTTCAGTCCCAACGCCTGGTGGCCCTAGTGGGTGCAGAGACACCAACCACCAGGACGTCTTTCCTCCACCCATTTCTGAATTGAGTCACCATCTTCTTGGGCACCCTTAAACCCCTCCTTAGTGGATTGACTTATGTCCCCCCAAAACTCACTGAAGCTTGAATTGTGTTCCCCAAGTTTGATGTATGAGAATCTTAGCCCCCACTGTGACTATTAAGAGGGTGGGAAATCCTATTACGGTAATTGAAAGGTGGAGCCTTGAAGAGGTGATTGGATTGTAGGACCCTGTAGTAGTAGATGTATTAAAAATGGTGGTCAGGGGCGTGGTTCTGAGGGCTTTAAAAGAAGAGGAGAGTCTGTCTCTCTCTCTCTCTCTCTCTCTCTTTCCACCATCTTGCAATGTGAGATCCCTGGGTCACTGTCACCACCACCAGATGGACTTTGGACTTCCCAGCCTCCAAAACTGAAAGCAATAAATTTTATTTTCTTTATAAATCACCTAGTTCAGTGTACTTTGTTATAAGCAACAAAAATGGACTAACACCCCTCCTGCTGCAGTCTAAGCCTGCCCCGATTAGCAAGGAGAGGGTCGAATAGCTGCCACAGATTAGTGCCCACAGAATTATGAAAACTTAAAAAAAAAACAAATCTCTAGGTTCACCTCCTAGGTCTTTTCCTAGCCCCGGCCCAGGGGGTCTGGTTCAGGATCCTCTCCCAGGATTACAACAAATTCCCCATTTTAGTTCTTAATTCATTTAACATACTGATGAAGGCTGTTGCCTTCCTCTTTCCAATAATCTTATACTCCAAGAGTGATGAAGCCCTCTCATTTGCAGAAGATTTTCACATCTGTCTCTTCTCAAGCCTGCAAGGCAACCCCGAGGGAAGGCTGGAAGGGCAGCTAGAACTTATTTTGCCGGGAAACAGATGCAGAGGTGTGTTGACTCACTCGAGGTTACCCGACTTCAAAACCACCTCCTTCTTGCACGCATTGGTTGGCAAGACACTGAGGCTGCATACAGGCCCCCACTCTATAATGGGGCACTGGCTGGTCCCCAGTGCCCAGCTCTCTGCTGGCTCCTGCTCCCCAAGAGCAAAGCCCCCATTCACCCTTTTCTGGGTCTTGAGAAGACAGGGCCTGGAAACCCTGAGCCTGGCACACGGTTGGGCTCCATAAATGTGTGTTGAGTGAAGGAAGGAAAATGCATGTGGGAAGGCAACTGGCTTTGAGAAGGGGATGTCCCCATTAGCATCTCCCTCCCTTATCCTCTGTGGGTTCTGGGGTGGGGCCAGGGGACAACGATGCACAGAAACTGGCTACGTGCGAGTGCTGAGAAAAGGGTGAGCTCACAGAGGCCCTGTTCATCCTTCCAGAGCCACCAAGGAGCTCCTGGCCCTCCAAGGACAAGTGGACACAGCCAATTCTTGGGGACCTGACCAGTACTGTGTCCCTGTCCAGTTTGGAGACCTAAGGCCAGCAGGTACCCTGAGCAAGGTGGCACGGTGTGGTTCTGGGCAGAGGCCTCTGCTGTGACCTTCAGTGACTGACCGGAATCTAACAAGCAGTTAATGCCTAGATGATTTTCACCAGACTCTCTGCAAGACACCACCTTGTCTCAGCACCTTGTGGTACCACCTTGTGGCAGCAGTGTCAGACCTGTCCCGATGCCTCGCTAGGGACATTGGCAGTGAGATGTCCCTGCCTGGACCCTCCACCCCATCCATGCTCCCCAGCCACCTCTAGCTCCCCACCCCTGCACACTCCGCTCTGTGGCTCTTCTGCTCCCCCTGGGCTTCCCAAGCTCCTCCTCTTACCCCAGCAGTGGCTACATCAGCCCCTTGCTCATCAAAGTACGATCCTTGAAGCAGCCACGCCGGCATCTAGGAGCTATCAGAAATCCTGAGAAAAGTGGAATCTTAAGCCGCACCCCAGACCCACTGAATAAGAATCATTTTAGCCAAGATGTTTCCTAAGCATCTCAGCATTTCAGAAGCCATGGTCCAAACTCCCCACCTCCCACGAGCAGTGAATCCCAGTCCATGAGTCCGGATCCCCAGAGTCCCTTTCGTGTCCCAACAAGGTATGCCTCCAAGGATGGGCCTCCAGACTCCCTGTGCTCAGCAGAGTATGGGGGAGAGGGACAGAGTGTGTGCAAATATCGGAGTAGGGGGAGAGTCAAGGACAGTGGGGAAGGTTTTAGTGGAGGGAGATGGTATGGGGGGAGGGGCTGCTGATATGGGGAGCGGAGGCTGGTGCAGGGTGGTGCTGGGGGCCTAGTGCCATCCCCAGGCTGGGCCACACATGCACCAGGCTCCTCATTTGGGGGCCGACTGTGGGCAGGTCTCCTCCAGTATCTGGCCTCTGGGCACCCTCGCAAGTCCCATTTCACAGGTAAACTGTGAATCCATTATCTGTGATACCCCAGGGCGCTAGTGCTCAGTTAGGGATTAGCCCAGGCCCAGAGCTGAGAAACCTGCTGCTCAATTAACTGGACACTTTCCTCTTTGCAGCTCTGGGAGGGGGCGGGGAGTCTTGTGAGTGAGGCTGGAGAGGCTGGAGGCTGACAGAAGGGGATGGCATTTTCACTAATTAAATTAACTGATTACCCAGAATGCCAGGCACCAGACCAGCAGGGGCTGCCAGGAAGGGGTGGCAAAGCCAGGCAGAGGTGGGCCGAGTGGGGTCAGGTCACTGTGTTGTGGAGGGGAGGTGTGGGTGACAGCCCCCACCGAGGCACCAGAGGAAGGGTGCGTGCCTATGTTATGGGTGGTTCCTCGCCATGACCTCTGCTGCCCCCAGGTGTCACTACTCCCTCCCTGGACCTCACAGGTGAGATGAGGAACAGAGGGGTGGCAGACGGATGGAGCATCCTTCTTAAGCCAAGACGCAGGCCAACACCACCCTCTCTCTATCCACCAGGAGGCAGAGACCTGAAGTATTCTTAGCCATTACGGGGACTCGGTGACGTTAAGTTACCTGCTCAAGGTCACATGGCATGTACATGTTGAAATCCAAACCCCAAACCGTCTGCTTTCAAAGTCCATGCTGCCCCCATTAGACTGCCAAAGAGAGGGCTGGTGAGAAGAGACCTCCTCACCCTCCTTCTCGCCCTGACCCTGCTGGTGGGAGATCTGCTTTCAAAGTCCATGCTGCCCCCATTAGACTGCCAAGGAGAGGGCTGGTGAGAAGAGACCTCCTCACCCTCCTTCTCGCCCTGACCCTGCTGGTGGGAGAGAGGGGGAGACCCCTGTCCCGGGCAGGGGTGGGAGCTGCAGGGCAGGGGCAGGGAGGGCTGAGGGCAGCTGACCTACTCTCCTAGAGTCTTTGAAGGGTATTGGGGGAAATAGGGGCTGCTGAGTGTCCTCCATCAGCCAACTAGAAGGAAGGGGCCCAAGTGAGAGCAGGAGAGACTTGGGTGAACCTTGGGGATCCTGCCCTGACCATCAGGAGGGTCGAATGCAGCGGGGGGTGGGGGCCCATGAGCAGCTGTGGCGCCTCCGACTTTGCCGATGTATGAGAAGAGGACAGACACCTGCCCCTCTGGTGTTGGGGAGAGGGTCATCTGTTCTATGGCAGGAGGCTGGTGGCTGACCTCCAATTGGGGACACATAGTCTACCTCAAGCTCTACCACCCGCCGGGACTATCAGAGCATAAGGTGGGTGTGACAGAGGGAGGGGCTGAAGTCTTCCTGCCTTAGCTGGGCCTCCACACACCATCTTTCTCTGGACATAAACTGTGGTCTTAAGAGTCACCAACAGCACTGACCCGCCCTGTTTCCTTTCCTCCCACCACCTCTACTGTGCACCAGGTAAGGAGTGCCCCTACCCCCTGCGCAGTCTTGTTACCCACCCCACCCCCACCCCAGGCCATCCACTCTGGCTCAACTATGTTTCCTAACCTGGAGCCCCACTCCCCCTAGCCCAGTTCAGGAGGATGCCCTCTCCCCCAACCGCAGGACTTCCTAGGTTGGGTCACTGTGTGGGTGCTTCACAAGCGGGGGGCCCGGCCAACCCATCCCAGCCTTGCGTGGACCAGACGGTCTGGCCTGCAGGACCTGAGATGCCAGGGAGCTCCTCCCCCTGCATCCTGGGGGACTCTTTCACCCTGCCAGGGCAGCACCACGAAAGAGCTGGTTATTCTTTTAGGCTAAGCATCAGTCTATCTTTGCAGCTTCTGGAAGGAGATAGCAGAACCCCAATAGCTCAGTGGCTTAAGGCCAGGGAGCCAGGGGAGGGACTAACCAAAGCACTCAGGGTCAAGATGGGTGCTATGGGTGGGGAGAGTTCTCCCCGAATCAGCTTTGCTTTGCACCAAGACCTGGTAGTGGGCAAAGCAGAGCCTGGGCTCCAAAGCCCCGGGTTCCAGGCTCTGGCTCACTCTGGCCACGTGACCTTGTGCGAGTCACTCCCCCTTTCTGGGCCTTGTTCTCCCCATCTGGAAGGTGAACGTGTTGCACTAGATCAGAGTTTCTCACTTTTGCCCCATCAAAAGGCTCTCCTGGGGCACTTGTTAAAAACATAGATTCCCAGGGCCAGCCCGTGGCTCACTCGGGAGAGTGTGGTGCTGATAACACCAAGGCCCCGGCCAGGTTCGGATCCCATATAGGGATGGCCGGTTTGCTCACTGGGTGAGCGTGGTGCTGACA